TTATAAGATCCTATGGACAACTCCAACAGAACATTTGCCACATCATCTTAAGAGTCAGATTACACACCATTCTCTTTAGTCTATATTAGCTCCTAATGGGCAAGAATCTGTATCTTACATTTAGATTCCCAGTGTTTACCATGCAATGGTATATAGTTGGTGCTCACTCTACTGGGACCCATTCCTGCTAATTCTTTCCACTCTACCCCCAAACATTAAAAAAATAAAAACAAACAAAAATCTGTTCTGCTGTATCTACCTGTGAAATGTTCCTAATCAAACTTCTAAATTTGTTCCTTTTTTTTTAACTCTAGCCTGTGATATTGGGCTATTTGGTGACCCATACCCTTGAATTCATCCCTGACCCAAATCCCACAGCTTTCATGGTTCCTTCTCCTCCTGGCAGCTTTTGGCTATTGTCCACATTCTCCTTTAACCACCTTCTCTGATTTCACACCACCACCAAGCATTGCCCTTGTTTTAGATTCTTCCTTGTCATAAGTCATTTAACCCTGTGGTCCCCAACCGCCAGGCTGTGGACCAGTACTGGTCTGTGGCCTGTTAGGGACTGGGCCACAGAGCTCTGCCGCCCCAACCCTCGCCCACTCCCCAACCCTCCACCTCCATTGGTGGAAAATTGTCTTCCATGGAACTTAGGAAATGGCCCCCTGGCACACCAGGAGGTGAGCAGTGGGCAGGGAAGCTTCATCTGTATTTACAGCTGCTCCCCGTTATTTACTGCCTGAGCTCCGCCTCTACCCATCCCTGGTGCCAAAAAGGTCAGGGACTGCTGAAACCTACCCACCATCACCATAAACACATTCCCTTCTGCACTTTGGGGCTGTATTGCTATTTTGTTGGCAGTTGCCTCAGCAGAAAATCTTACCCTATGAAAGCCCCCTTGTGTGAAGGAGGAATTTCTTCAATTTTAGTATCTTTGTACATTAATTAGGATGCTAGTTTCTCACTAATCGTCTAGGTCAAAGGCTGAGTTAATCAACCACTTCTGTCTCCACTTCAGACTCCAATACTAACATACCTTTTTTTGGAGAGAGGCGTACCAAAAGGGGTTTTTTATTGCTGTTTATTAATTAGCAAGTGGTTTTCAAGCATCTCTGTCCTCTCCCTGCCTCATTCTCCACTTCCCTCTACAAGTATAATACATTTTCCAGGAGTCCTTAGGGAAAGTGGGTAAAGGAGGAAGCCACTCTGTGAGGCTGTGGTACATTTCTTTTTCAATTGCAATTAAAGAGTATCTGAGAAAATATCCGAGGAAATGTAACCGCAGGACCAGCCCAAACTGGCCCTACTCTGTAGATAACAGAATGTCAAGTTATCTTATAGGTATAAGAGAGCCAAAACTGCAAGTCATGTATTCTAGACATAGCACAATAGAAAAAGCTTTGACCTCTAACAACACCCAGAACCAACATTTCCTCTTGGCAGAACCAAGAAGACCAGGGACATGACAGGAAATTGAATGCTGGAAACCTTTCAAAAGCAAGAGGTCTGTGGGCCGGGAAAATATGGTGCTAAAATCCACCTCAACATACCTTTCAGTAAATGGTCAAATTCAAAGCCCTCCAACCAGACCCTGCCAAGCCAACATTCCAAATACTTTCCCTTGTTCCCCGCCCCTTAAAACTTGCCCCAGACCTCAAATAGGGGAGATATATGGCACCTCCTGTCTCCTTGCTAGTTGGCCTCACAATAAAGCCTTTCTTTTCTCAAAAGCAGGTGCCATAGTATTGGCTTCTATGTGCATCAGTGAGCCCACTGCACGGTAACAGAATCATATATGTAACTATCAATGACGAAATATACGTGTGGGCAGGTTCTTACCTTAAGGGCCATTATGTCCTCCTATGAAAACATGGGGGTTGCGGGTGCCAGACCTGTCCCTTAAAATGTCAATAATTGGAGTATAATCACCTTGGAAGGGAAGCTTAACATGACTAGCTCCATTTTGCTTCTGACCCCCCCGCAGTAATATCTTTTAGGTTAAAAGCTTCTGCTGAGCTCTGCAGTAGGCTAGAAGATAGGTGACAACCATACTAACTCCTGGGGAGATAAGAAAGGTATACACACAAATAACAATGCTATGTTAACGATTTTTAGGAACATCTTGACCTTTGGCCTCCAAAGTTAACTGACTAAGAGCAAAGAAGTTTCACAACCTCCTCAGGCCCTCGCTGATGCCCAGATGTCTGCAGTCCTGGGTTACCTCTGGCAATCCAACTCCCCCCGCCACTTCCCCTTCCCTTAAGAGAAAAATGAGCCTAAAGTTCACACTAATTTAAGATGGTTCTTTGGGACATGAGCCCGCCAGCGTCTCAGTTTGCTGCTCTCGGAATAAAAGGTGCTTTCCTTCGCCCAGCACCTCGCCTCTGGGCTTACTGTCTTGCGGACCAGTGGTAGGAGCTTTAAGTCGGTTACAATGGAATTAGGTGAAAGTTGTGTTCAGCAGTTGAAAGCACAATAGGCTCCCCTGTCTGTCACCTTGGGCAAGTCACGGGACCTTTGGGTTTATTTTCCGCAAAATGGGAATGACCTTAGTTACCGAAAGAGTAAATGAAATAACATAATACTTGGAGAAGTACCAAAGCTAGTTTGCTGAGCGGGACACGGAGCAGAGCAGCACCTGGCCATCCTCAGCCCCTTGGCTCCCTCTGCAGGCAGCAAGACTCGTCCCCATGGCAACCGCTCCCGCGTTCCGGGCCCGCCCCGACCCTGCCGCCAGGACCGGAAGCAGTTGAGAGGGGGCGCGTCCCGCGTTTCTCTTCGGCGGCGCTGGGTAGGTCTTTCCCGGTCCGGAGGTGAGAGCCGAGGCCTCGTCAGGGCCCCTAGGCCGCGGGCATGATTGGTCGTCACCCGGCGAGGGGTTGGGAGGCGTGGACCTCGGCGCCACCGCTCCCTCCGCGCGCCCGCGCAGCCCCTCTCCACACCCCTCCCCGTGTCCCCATCCCGCCGCCCCCTCCCCTTGCCCCTACCTCGCCCCGGACCTACCCGCCTCTCACTGCCCTCCGCTCACCGCTTTCCCTTGCCCTTCCCCCCACGGCGCCTGCCAGTCCACCCGAGTCTAGGTGCGCCCCCGCGCCACCCGCCGCCTCGCCGAGGCTGTTCCCAGCTGAGAAGGGACGGCGCGCCGTGGGCTAGCGGGCAGGGCGGTCGCGGGGGCGACGGGCGGCGGACGTCAGCCCTCCCACTACGGGCCCACCAAAGGAGCGATTTAGTAGAGAGAGTCGTTTCGCTCCCGAAAGACCCCTCGATCCGGTGCTCGGGGCAAAGCCTCCCCTCCAGGGACCCTGTTGATTGTAGGCCATCGTGCGCTCTTGGGGGTTTGGTTTCCTCATCTCAGTTTAGAATTGAGAGCAACTTTGCAGACAGCACAGATTCTGCTCCTGGTGCTGAAGTTGCAGTGCCTGCAGGCAGCGACTCTGTCCTGGTACTTCAGAATACTGCTTTAGCCTTAGGGTCCCTCACATATCCCTTAGGATCCCAGACTGCTCCAAACTCAACCTCAACCCTTCCTGCCTCTCAGGTTTCTTACTGTACAGACTCTGTTCCAGTCCAGCTTCATCTGGGTGTGCTGCTCCCGGCCACCGCTTCCTCCTCTGTGCTGGGATCCTGTGCAAGGGCCAGTCCTGTCTCCAGCCGCTTGACCACACAGCACTGTGGATAAATGTGGACAGCCTGGATTCAGACCCCAGCCCTGTCCCTTTGTCCTTGGCCAGGGTGCCTGGCTTTGCTGTGACAAGTTCCTCACCTACAACATGGGGATAAAAATAACTTAGGGCTTTTATGAGGATTTTAGTGAGTTTATATTTATTAAGATGTTTATAACAGTGCTAGTAAATTCTGCATGTGTCTGCTATTATTTGCATCATAGCTCATCACCGTATAAAGTTGTATCATTTATATTTTAACATAAGCTTTATGAGGCCACAGGCTTTAGTCAAGTCACTGCTGTATCTACAATGCCTACAACAGTGGTTGGTGAAGTGAGAAAAGAAAATCAAACTGCAGGTTACATAACAAGGAAAAATAAGATTTTTAACTTAGTTATCGTTTGCTGAACTTGTACAACCACTATCATACTGCCCAGTTTTAAAAATTTGATTAGTTTCAGGTGATACATACACTAAAATGGTACTAAGAAAAGTGTCTTGCCCACCCCTTTCCTGCTAACAAGCTAATAATACTTGGAGAAATCGTTGCCCTTACAAATCACTATGTTGGTGGTGGCATTGTGAATTGAATCTCTTTTGCAATTTATTTGCTAATACATGACAAGACAGAATCTGCCACTGTCCTTTGATCCCCAATAAGCAGAGACCTTGGGACATGCTTGAAGGAAATAATTTGAAAGGAAAAAAAATAGTATATTCATGAAGATGTGCCTCCCAGCATTATTTGTAATAGTGAAAATTAGAAACCACCTAAATATTCTATAGTAAAGAGATAGTTAAATAAATAATATAGATGTTATGGATGGAAAGTAGAAACAATTATGAAAAATAGGAATACATTGAGATGGAGGAGTATGTGATTGCTTTTTTCTTTTGAATGGTTCCTTAATGTCAAAATAATGTTTTAACAATTAGTAAACGTTGAAAAAAATCCTCACAGAAGTACTGTCATGAGATTATTTCTTTGATCTCTTTGCAGCAGACTAGATAAAACTAATTGGCTCTTTGAACCTGCTCCTGAGTCATAGCTGTTTAAAAATCAGACTTCCCTTATTTTCATTCTCCGGGAGCTCCTGTGCAATCCTGGCTGATCTCTTATTGTAATATTTAGTGGCCTCGTGGGCATGGTTTTCAGAATAAATTGGGAATTACTCATGCATATGAATTAATGAGTCTTAGCTCTTTGGTTCTCTTAAAGAAAGAGATATTCTTTGAAAGCATGGTTTATGCTTATATTAAGGTCATTATTTCCTGTACTGTCTCATGTTTCTAATCTTAGTTGTTTTCTTCTCAGAAACATTTGTTCTTTGTCTTGTTTCCACTTGTTTCTTTAATCATATTTAAGGAGTGTTCATAAGGAGAGCTCCACCTCCTTGAGCATTTAAGCCTAGCAGTACTGGGCTATTGCCAGTCAAGATGTCTGCAAGATTGAGAGAGTCATCAACACTCCTGACACAAACTTCAGAGGAGCCTGATGGGATTCTGATAGTGAAGATGGAAGAGGAAGAACAGGCCTGTGATCCGGACTCTAGCCTCCACTGGAGCAGCTGCTACAACCCAGAGACCTTCCGCCAGCAGTTCAGACAGTTTGGCTACCAGGATTCACCTGGGCCCCGAGAGGCTCTAAGCCGGCTCCAGGAACTTTGTCATCTCTGGCTAAGGCCAGAGGTGCACACCAAGGAGCAGATTCTAGAACTGCTGGTGCTGGAGCAGTTCCTGGCCATCCTTCCAGAAGAGCTGCAGGCCTGGGTGCAGAAGCATCGTCCAAAGAGTGGAGAGGAAGCTGTGACTATGCTGGAGGACGTGGAGAGAGAGCTCGATGGGCCTGAACAGGTAAGAAGGGCGCCTGTGGGGATGAACCACCAGGCTGAGCAGGAGCATGGGCACATTACTGGGGCTGAGGCTATCAAATTGTGTTCCCACTCAGCACAGCTGGTGTGTAGGCTAGTGAACACACTCATGGGTGTCCCAGAAAATAGAAGGTGGCTCTACTTTTTTCCTCCCTTTTCCTGTGTCCAGGATATATTCTACATAGTTTTTTCTCTGTTATTTTGTCTTCAACTCCCAATCTGATTCCCTTTGTCAGGCTCAATTATACCTAACTATTTCAGGTCTTCTTTTTTGAACGAAGAAAGGACGCGATTGCAGAGAAGCTTGCAACTTGGGAAATGACCGAGGAGTTACCAAGTAGCCAGCTGAAGCCTGTGAAGAAGCAGCTGCAGCGGGCCTCAGGGGAACTGCACTCCTTAAGACCAGCTGGTGAGGAGGCAGGATTCAGTTCATGGTGGGAGGTGAAGGGGGCCTTAGCCCACCGCACACGTCTAGGCCATCTAATGCAAGAGGTCTCAAATCTCCCTTCTCATCTCCTCCTCACTGTGGGAACTTCCACTGTTACTTATCTTACCAAATGAACGTGCTCAGTGGTTTGTTCTTGTTTCTTTTCCGTAGATTCTTATAAAATCGTCAGATTTTAAATCCTTGACATCAGCTCCATCAGCGTTTTCAAACCTTTTTAAAACAGCATGACCCTTTTCTCAAATGAAATTTTACATGGAGTTCCAATATATAAAACAGATGGAAACGCAGTTACTCTGTGTGAAGCAGCCCACAAGGCCTCCAACTCAGCCTCATCCCCACCTCCTTTACCTTTGGGCGCCCCTGAGGCCCTTCAGTGGGAATTCAAGGTACATAGCCTAGAAACCACTGATCCGCATCATTATTTCTTGTGTAGCTATTTGCTCAGTTACTGGTGGGATCTAGTCGCGAAGTTGCCCATATTGCTGCTAAGATGACTCCTCCCTCACAGTGCTTTGAATACAGTTCTCTACTCCCTCACATCTCAACTGGCCTCTGTTGCTCTTTGCATCGCTTTTTATAAAAGTGCTCCAAAATGGCTGGCAGAGCAATCTGGTCTTACATTGTAGATACTAAAAAAATAAGTGCTATGAGAAAACAAACAGAGCAGAGTAAGGGGGATAGATGGGGTGGTGATAGGGTCTTATATATAGAAAGAGTGGTAGGAAGGCCTCTCTAATGAAGTGACTTTGAGCAGAGACCCTCCTAGATGATCATTCTACATAAAATAGGAGCCAGAGATTAAGAGGCAAATCCCACTCGGGAGGATCTCTTCCTCTCCCCACCAACATTGCTTTTTTATTCCAGGGGTGGCTGATAATTTAAGCAAGGTTAAAGTTTTTCCAAGGGAATTCTGGTAAAAGGGAGGTTGAGGAAAGATTGCTTACCCTTACTTGGGAAGTACCAAGTAAGGGTGAGCTCCCAAAAGGCTTGTACTGGGCACTTAAACACCTCCAGTCTAGAAACTGTCTTGGCTTACCTAGGAGAAAAGTGAAAGCCTTTTCACACTCTGTTGGGAGAGGAATGGAAACCATCCCAGTCTCAGCAGTTGTCATGGTGGTGACTACACAAGTGATCAGTTTCAAAGCCAGGTTCTGAGTTCCTAGTGTTGGCAAGAAGCACAGTCTACCTGTGAATGTCCTCATGGAGGCCTTTCCTACATTTTTTTTAAGACACATAAGAATCTGAAACAGAAAGCAAAGGGCCCAGAATCTCGTAATACAAGGCAGAGAGAATCAGAATCATGTGACAGAATAATAGAACTATTTGTTAAGACCACAACACGATTTCTGTGGTACTGAGTTGTGTCTTATCAAAGCTTCTGAAGATGACTTTGGTCTCTGCTTTGAAGCACTAACTGTTGCCAGAATTTTGATAGTAATGACTGAACATCAAGGTCACTTTGGAATATGAGCTATCAAAAATGAATTTGGAACAAAATCCTTACCACTTGTGAAGTGATTTCTGTTTAAACCAGTAATAATAAATAAATGAATATGCCATATGTATACTTTGAATATTTGTCCCCTTGGAAACTCAAGTTGAAACCTAATCCCCAATGTGGTAGTACTGAGAGGTGAAACTTTTAAGAGGTGATTGGATCATGAGGGCTCTGCCCTTGTGAATGGATTAATTCATTCATGGATTAATGGGCTAATGGATTAATGAGTTACTATGGGAATGAAACGTACGGGCTTTATAAGAAGAGGAAGAAAGACCCGAACTAGCATGTTAGCACGCTCAGCCTCTCACCGTGAAATGCCCCTTGCTGCCTCAGGACTCTTCAGAGAGTCCCCAGTAGCAAGAAGGCTCTCACCAGATGCAGCCCCTCAATCTTGGACTTCTCAACCTCCATAAGTGTGATAAAGAAATTTCTTTTATAAATTACTCAGTTTCAGGTATTATAAGCAACCGAAAATGGACCGAGATACCATATTTATGACTGAATGCAAGAAATTTTAAATTCATTTTGAACAACTGTATATGCACCAGAGGGTCACATGGGATCAGCCCTGCTCTGGGTTCCTTTTAGTCTCATTTATGTAATTCAGGTAAAGGTACCCCCAGCAGTCACTGTCAGCCCCAGCCAAATCATGTCCTCAGTCACGTTCAGAACTGCTGTACTTTGCTTTTACAGACTCATTTTAAACTGCCATCTTTCAGCAGCTTCAGTTAAAATGCCACCATGAGGATTACTGAACTCATTCCTTCAGTTAATGGGTCCAAATTAAATTGGCATATTCACATCCGAGTTAGCAGTTCTGCTGAAGCTTCAGGTACTCTGAATCAGAAGGCCCTCTGCATTGAGCCAGATTTGTGTGCATCTTGAGTGGCTGCAGCCCGTAAGCAGCCATGGACATTTTTCATAGACATTAAATGTAATACAAAATAAGACAACAAACTTAGCCACTCAACCAGTACTATAAAATACCTATAGGAGTATAGGTTTTTCATTGACGGGTATTCTGTGCTACCCGTGATCTTTTGAAGTACCAGTTATCCTGGTCTATATTCCTTCCTTTATTTGCCTAACTTGTGTTTCCTGACTTTGGTTTCTGTATTCCTTTTTGAACCCTTGGCTTTCTTCAGATCATTTCATTGTTCAATTATGGATTCATTTATCATTATTAAGTTTTTGTTTTGTTGATACTCTGGTGCTAAATCTTATTTTTTACCCCCACTGCCACATTTGATTCTTCTCCTTCCAATGGTCTACTTCTCCAGTCATTCCTTATCTTTTAGGCTCTTTCTTCCAAACTTTTCTCAGTGTCTGACGTATCTTTTTACGCCTACTTACCATCCTACCTTTTCCATAGAGCTTTGCGTCATTAGAGTTGACTGCCTCCCCAGTGTGTAAACCTTTCTGTTTGTCTTATGATCTCCACCTTCCACATAGTGATGTTGTTTTACAAACATGCTAGCTAATAATTAATCCATATATATTTGATTTGGAACATTCTATTTCCCTTTCTTTCTGAGCAGAGAACTGATAACATTCGCTTTTCTGTTTATTATTTCAGAGGAAGACACCAAAAATATAAATGTAAAATCAGCTTCGAGGCAAAAGACTTCTTCAGGCATAGAACTGCATCACGATGTGTCTAACACCCTTTATATGAATGCCTCCCAGAGTTCTACACATAGAGGAACATGTGAACAAGATGGCAGGTTTGAAAGAAGAAAGGGAAATCCCTCTAGAAAGAAACAACACAAGTGTGATGAATGTGGAAGAATCTTTAGTCAGAGCTCAGCCCTTATTTTACATCGGAGAATCCACAGTGGAGAGAAACCTTACGCATGTGATGAGTGCGCAAAGGCCTTCAGCCGAAGCGCAATTCTGATTCAGCATCGAAGAATCCACACTGGGGAAAAACCCTACAAGTGTCATGAATGTGGCAAAGCCTTTAGTCAGAGCTCAAATCTTTTTAGACATAAGAAAAGACACATTAGAGAAAAAGTCCCATCAATATCATGAGGATATCAAAGCATTTACACAGAGCTTTCTTAGCATGAAAGAAGAGAGAAGGGGAAAACTCTTCTTTAGTATAAATCTGTGGTTTTAGTGGTCACTAGTCTCCTTTTAAGAGTCATAAAAGCCACAGGAGAGAATGTAGAATATCTCATGTCAGCATTATTTGCTTTTCTGCTTATCAATGCAATGTCATTCAGATGTTTGAGATTCCAAAGTTTAATTCAGATTTCTATCCCTAAGCAGCCCTTGAAAAGACATTCTCAGACATGTTCTACTATTTCCAATATTAATACAAATAATGAACTAGTGTATTTCTTTTTAGACAAGTATTTTTTTCCCTGTTAAGAAGGAATGTGTGAGTTACTCAGTGTAAAAATAAATATTTTCCATTTTATAACTTGAGCACTAAAATTCTAATAGCCAAAGATTGAGGTATTTAAAAAAAAAATTCCTGGCCAGGTGTTGTGGCTCATTCCTGTAAATCTAGCACTCTGGGAGGCCAAGGAGGGAGGATCGCATGAGGTCAGGAGTTCGACACCAGCCTGAGCAAGAGTGAGACCCCCGTCTCTACTAAAAATAGAAAAAATTAGCTGGGTGTGGTGGCACATGCCTGTAGGCCCAACTACTCAGGAGACTGAGGCAGGAGGATCCTTTGAGCCCAGGAGTTGGAAGTTGCAGTGAGCTATGTTGATGCCATTGCACTCTAGCCCAGGCAACAGAGGAAGACTGTCTCAAGAAAAGGCAAAGGAGTAGACATTTTCTTCTGTTTATGCAAATGACTAATAAGTACGTGAAAAGTTGCTCAATATTGATAATCATTAGGGAAATGCAAATCAAAACCACAATGAGATACCACTTCTTACCCATTAGGATGGATATTATAAATGGCAATAACAACAACAACAAAATAACAGGTGTTGGAAATGATGTGAAGATATTGGAACCCTTGTGCATTGCTCATGGGAATATAAAATGGTATAGTTGCTGGGGAAGACAATTTGGTGGTTCTTCAAAAAGTTAACCTTAAAATTACCATATAATCCAGCAATTCACTCTTAGGTATATACCCAAAATTATTGAAAGCAGAGACTCAAACAGATATCTGCGTACCAATGCTCATAGCAGCATTATTTGTGATAGCCAAAAAGTAGAAACCACCCAAATGCCTATCCATAGATGAATGGATAAACATGTGGTATACACATACAATGGAATATTATTCAGCATAAAAAGGAATGAAATTCTGTTGCATGCCACAATGAGGATGTACCTTGAAAACATTATGCTAACTGAAATAAGCCAGACAAAAAAAGGACAAATATCATATGATTCCACTTATATGAGGTACCCAGAATTGGCAAGTTTATAGAGACATAAAGTAGAATAGTAGTTACTGGGGCCCGGGGGAATGGGGAATGGAAGTTATTGTTTAATGGATACAGGGTTTCTGTTGAAGATAATGAAAAAGTTCTGGAAACATGTAGTAGTGATAGTTGAACCACATTGTCAATGTTCTTAATACCACTGAATTGTACACTTAAACATGGTTAAAACAGTAAATTTTATGTTACACATATTTTACAATGAAAAATAAAAGCATTGAAAGAAACAAAAATGAAGTTAATTTTATATAGTTCCTGAGGTAATAAAGCTTATGATTCTAGCAAAGAAAAAAGAAGGATTAAAAAAAAGCCCTGTGGAATGAATGTCGTTCAAAGACAGAGGATCTGGAAGATAAAATCCAGACACTGCTTAGTGAAAGGACTGACTGAATGTGAGCCCGAACAATGTTCTCTTTGCCACTAACATTGAGGATAGGTGATGAGAATACCCAAGGAGCCCTGGAAGAGGATTCAAATGGACTACATAGGCTGTGAATCCCAGATGGGTGGTAAATAATATTAAAATTAGTTGTAATTTCCATCTTGGACTCAAAGTATTTTCTTATATAAAGCTATATGTTAATGACTTCATTCCTGAAATTTTACCCAATGGATGTACCTTATTTTTGGGGTGTCTTAATCTTAGCTGGGTTTGAATTTAGCTGAACTTAACTGGCTTGTCTTCAACTGAAAGGTCATTTTTATTCAAAGGCTACTATAACATTGAGAGACAGCTTACATAAGGTTTAGCACTCTAGTGTCAGAGCTAATAATCAGCCACAGAGAAATTTACAATTTTTTCCTATATAATTTTGCTGGCTCCTGTCTATCCATTGCAGAAGGAGTTGTTAGGATTCCAGGTAGAATGTCCCCAGCTGGATATGTTAGTTGGCTGCATCAGAACTGGATTAGCCCATGAAACTTTGCTTTTTATTGATAGGCCATTAGCAATCTTGTCACCTAGGTGGTTTTACAGTTTGACTTCTCAATGTTTATCCCACTCGAATGATGAGTCTAAGCCAATCATGCCAATACTATTCCACCTGCAAGTGCTTTTGATTTAGGAATGGGTGTAACACCCAATCTAGGCCAATGAGACACGAGGGGAAGCCTACTACATGGCTTCTGGGAAAACTTTGCTTTCTTCTAAAAAAGAGACATACAGATGACATTGTTCTACCCCCAGATGTTCCTGTGACTGGTTATGATGCCAAGATATGCTGCACTAGCTAAAAGATGAAGCTGAAAGACGTGGAGGGAGGAGCTATGAAAACTGCAGGGAAGCAGGACTGAAGCCTTGATGTTCCATTCTTTTAAATAACTATGTTAGAAGAAAAGAAAGGTCTAAAATAAATTTTGTACTTATCTACCTTAAGAAACTAGAGGGAAAAAACAAAAGAGAAGTTTAAAACCAAAGTAAGTAGAAGAGAGAAAAATGATAAGAACAGAGGCTTTGACTTCAGGGAGGATAGATTAAGCGCATTCTACCCAGTTCCTCCCACTGAAGGCAACTAAAAAGCTAGACAAAATGCATGCTGCAGCTCTCGGAGGACTCTTCAAAATAAATGATGGCAAGCATGTCAGGGGAGGAGAACAGAATTTGAAGTTCCACTAAACTAGCATTGAATTTACCCTTTAATCTACTTGTTATCTACTTTTACCCTTGTTACTTACTGGTCTAGATTCAAAGGCAGCCTTGAAACCCAGAAGTGCACGTAGAGAGTAAATAGACAAATGTTCTGTTTCTGGCCCAAGGAGTGGGAAAAGGGGCTTCTACGGATCAGGAAGAATGGGGGACATCCCATAGACAGTATTTTCCCCTTCATTTCCCTTTCAACCCAGCCTTAAGACAATACTACAGCAGTGGCAGCGGCAGCAAGGGCAGTAGTAGAGGAGCACTTTGTTCTGAACAGAGTCATTTTGGAAGAATGGGGCAGATCGCCATTGCTTGTATTATATTATCTCTGTGTCCTCTCACTACTTGGACCAGGCAGAATGCCGGCGGGAGAAGTAAACAGCAGAGACAGGAAACTAAAATCCCAGCTTTCTGGCTGAAAGACTGGTAGGGAAGGCCCCAGGGAGCCAGAAAGAGAATGGAGATCAAGTGTGATCCCCTAAAGTTGTGTGTGAACGCCTCGACTGGCCTTTAAACTGCGCATGCGTGAATCTGATCCTACACAATCGCTCGCAGGCGTTGAGAATTGAGCTACAGGGTAGACAGACTGCCAGCGAGGCCCCAGACCGGCCACTGGGTGGCACACACAAAGGACGGACCAAAATTGCACTGGAAATGTTTGAAAACTGACTGACACTGGAACTGTAGCCCACACAATCAGATCAGAACTTTTGACCTCACTCTAAGTAGGGCAGTTGCCTGTTAAACAAAAATATCAACATTCTCCTTAGGATTTAAGTAATACTCGGAATCTGATAACATAATATAGAAAATGTGCAGGCTACAATGCAAAATTACTAGGCATAGGAAGAACCAGGAATATCTCAATTTGCAAGAAAAAAGAAAATCAAATGATGCCAATGCCTAGATGACATAGATTTTAGAATTAGCAGGAAAAGACTTTAAAGCAGGTTTTATAACAATATTTAGGAAGTAAGGGTAAATGGCTGGAAAGATAGACACCAGGAAAGAAATTGAAGATATAAAGAAGAAACGAATGGGAATTTTTGAACCGAAAAATACAACAACCAAAATGAAATATTCACTGGATGGGCTCAATGGAAGAATGAAAATGACAGAGAAAATAGTAAGTAATAGACAATAGAAATTATCCAATTATCTAAACAACACAGAGAATAAAAGATTGAAAAGCAAAAAAGAACAGACAAGAAAAGAAAACTGCAATCCAGGGCTGGGGGTGGTGGCTCACACCTGTAATCCTAGCACTTTCGGAGGCTGAGGCGCAAGGATTTCTTGAGGCCAGGAGTTTGAGACCAGACCCCTCTCTACAAAAAATAGAAAAATTAGTGGGGCATGGTGGTGCATGCCTGTAGTCTCAGCTACTGGGGAGGCTGAGGCAGGAGGATTGGTTGAGCCTAGGAGTTTGAGGTTGCAGTGAGCAATGATCACACTACTGCACTCTAGCCCAGGCAACAGACGAGACCCTTTTAAAAAAAAAAATCCTCGACAAAATATTAGCAAATCTAATCTAGCAATGTATAAAAAGATTAAAACATCAGAACCAAGTGGGGTTTATCCCAGAACTATAAGGTTGACTCAGAATTCAAAAATCAACCCAGCTAATTACTATATTAATAGTGTCAAGAGGGAAAATCATGTGGTTATACCAATTAATGCAGGAAAAGTATTTGATAAAATTCAATATCCATTTATGATAACAATAGAAGAAACTTCTTCAAACTGGTAAAGGACATCTACTAAAAACCTAGAGTTAATATCATACTTAATTATAAAAGATTGAATAATACTTTTCCACATAATATTGAGAACAAAGAAAAAAATATCTATTCTTTTCACTCTTATTCAGCATTGTATTGGAAGTCATAGCTAGTGCAGTAAGGCAAGAAAAAGATATAAAAGTTATATGGATTGTTTATTTAAAAAATAAACTTTTTCTCTGTGAGAAATTATTTGGCAAGAAAATAAAAGATAAAAAATAAGCTTTTCCAATTTGCAGATAACATGTTTCTCTACCTAG